AAATTGTGTTTTGTGGTTGTTGTAGTCTGGCATAGCCTCATTATCACTATGCTACAGGTGGTCTGGAGTGTTTGTATTTCTTTAGTTTAACTCACCTGATGTATGATGCGGGTATAAACGTGCCATTAGCCGCCCATTACAGGGGTTTTTTTTTTCTCTGCAGATATAAAATAACCTTATCAATTTCAAGTTTTTCCAAGGATTTGGATCATGAAGTAAAGCAGCCCTGCTAACTCATTTGCGGTGGATTGTCCATTTTAATCACAGCGCTTATCTCCCTGCATGTTGTTCCATCACAACAATTACACTCATCGCTATATAGAGGGAACACACTGAAGCCACATCCTTTGTTTAGCCCTCCTTAATGACTGTAATTGGTTTAAAGAATACAAACAAGCCAGACCAGTTATTTCCCTCATAGCAGAATGGTAGTGTGGTGCAGCCAGGCCATTATGTTCTACAGAATCCACTGGCAGAGTGAGACTATTAAAATGCTTATTCACCAAAACAATGCTGGCAATGCCGCCTTACTGCATGACCCAAATCATCTGCAAAACTTTTCAACGTGGTAGGTGGCAAGCCCAGAGGTTGTTGGATTCTAAAAATGGTAACACATAGATACCAGAAGAGAAAGTGAAAGCTGTGTGGAATGTCAACGCGAGTAAGTCAGGCTACGGTTGCTGCAAACTTAAATGTGTAAAGTAAGAGCTGTAAAAATATGAAGATGTTTTCCTGAAGCCCATCGAACAACTCCGTAGTCTCTCAAGTTTGCAAGCCAGTGAGAATTTTGTTGGGCTGCTAAGAAAACAGTGGTCATCCAGCTCAAACTTTGTATAATTCTGCCCCCTCACTGCCCGCTGCTTGGCCTCATCACGCTTGAGATTGAGATTTAAGGTCACAGTTTACAAGGTCAAAGAGCAATGGACTTTTATGACCCTACTTTGCTCAGCCAGAAATGTTGAAATGAAATGTAGCCAGACTAATCAAAAGATTTATTTATTTTTTTTCATTCAGAAGAAGCAGCATCTTCGCAGTCCACCAGAGTTATTAACTGTCTAGAGCTGCTTCTGCTAACTCTGAAATGTTTTAACAACAAGCAAAGAAACACCAAATGTCCCAACACGCTCATTTACATCAGAGCTGAAAGACTGAGAGACACATTCTGGGGACATGTCAGACTTTTATTGATTTGTTCCACGGGAGCACAATATATGACTTTTGAAGGCCTTGTGTATCCATAGTACACACACACACACACACACACACACACACACAGGCGATTTTACTCATTTGGCAGATTCGGTCTCATGTGTAGGCGTGAACAGACTGTGGTCTGAGGAACAAGTATACCTGGAAACACCAGTGAGTGTGTGCTAAGCCTCTATATTTGGCACAGATAGGTTATGAGAGAACATGTTCTGACACAACTCTTTGGCCACAGCATAAAGTGGAGGCATCAGAATTTACAGAAGGGACAGCTTTACTATAATAAATAAGTGGCTTAAGTCATTACCTAGACGATAAATTGCAAAAGCAGCCATGGCTCCAGCAATGGCAGCTGCAAGCTTTCCCAAACATGGCTTTTTTATCCACACCTCTCAGGGCCACACAATTAAGAGAATTAAGCCAAGGCACCGCCCAAACACTTGCACTGCTGCTGCAGGGCCAGTGGAGGTGCAGAGAGGTGTATCACGTGACATGTACTGAGATCAACAATGTACAAATTAGGGCTGGTATGAATAGCCACGCGGTGGTGCCGGGTGCTGAGCATTCGGTCTGACGGGCTGTAGTGAGCGGGCGTTTCCCATCAGCAGGCACAGTACTGTATCTGCCATCAGTGGCAGCGGTGGCGGGGGCGGGGAGAGGAATATTCAGAGATAAAAATTGATATCCCGATTCCAGCACAGCGAGCAAATAGTCAGCTATTCGGGGTTCGGGTCCAGCCCTCGTACAAATGCAAGAATGTTTCAGCCGTATTCTGTGGTGAACCAACTATGTTGTGTCTAAATTACCTCAAACATAACGGTGGCATTTCTGTGCTGATATTTAAGCTCATATTGGCTGATAACATAACACTATTCAGTCAGACTTTACAGAATAGTATGAAATTACTTTAAAGAATGTGTTCAGAGCATAGACTGTATAAAAGATGGACGTAGCAAGCGGCCCTGAAAAATGAAATGTGTCAAAAACCTGCAATATCACTACGTCCACTAGTTGCTGGCTCCAAAAAGCCCTGGCTCCCATAGGCTTGAATTGGAAAAGAAGTGATCACAGATCACGAAATGCCGCATTCCTACAGCTCAGGATTTTTTTCTTATTAGTTTTCATAGTCAAATCCACAGATCAGGTGGCCAATCTGAAAATAAATCAATACTGACTTTTTAAAAAATCGTCAAAATTGTGGCGTGGCTGGCTTGATTGACAGTAGGCAGTGACGATGCAGACGAAGCGAGCAGAAGGACGGGCAGAGAGGGCCCGCCTCTCAATCCGTCTGACCAATCGCTGCTCCTATGGCTCCGCCCCCCTCCGACGATTTTTGCGTCACTGGCTCCAAAAATCCAAGATGTCAACCAGGAAGTAGCAAAACCCTGGCTTCATTTTCTCAGTGCAGAAACCAACGGGTGACGTCACGGTAGCTACGTCCATCTTTTATACAGTCTATGGTTCAGAGCAACCCCGTTTTGTTCCCAGTGGGAGGTAAACAGTAGGCTCGATGAGGAACTTTAATGTGTTAGTTTGTGATCACACAAGAAATTGAAGCTTTTTTGTTCGTGTGTTATTGTCTGTGTTGATCAGTAACCAAACTTATGCCATTCCACGCAGGTAGCTGGAAGAGCAGATGATCTGGAGAGAGATAAAGACGAGGCGGCGCAGCACGGTTCGCTGCCTGTCGTCAGCACCAGTTTCTCTCTTGCGGATTGCAGTCCGACCAGCCATCAGGATGTGGGACTCTCTCTTAAACGCAAAAGGCAAGCAACCGCAGAAACGGAGATAAGTTCTGCAGAAGCCCTCACCAACCTCAGAGATGAAGATGAACTGTTTCTGCTCAGCCTCCTGCCCTCACTGAAGCGGCTCACCATTAAAAAGAGAATGGAGGTGCGGATGAAATTCCAGCAAGTGCTTTATGCTGCAGAGTTTGAGGACTGAAGAGCACAAAATGCACTAAACATTGGTAGTTGGAGGAGTTGTTCCGTATTTACATCAATCCTCAAGCACTTGGTGTGTAAATAGTTATTTTTTTAGCCATTGTAACTTGGACTATTTATTTTTGCATCACTCTTTAGTAAATATATCACTGTGTTGTTCTTTGTCATTTTGGTTCATGAGAGTTGACAGAGAAGTGTCTTTTAGGTGAAGGAAAATATGAATGCAGTTGTGTCCACTGGAACCTTCATCCATGTTCATCTCAAAATCTTTCTACTTGCCAACGCTGCCTGATGAATTTCAAATTCTTGTTATTTTTATAGATCAAACAGAACTCACTGTCTGTTCATAAATACCCTTTCTTTATATTTCTAAAGGAGTCATTTCTACTGTATATATTTTACAAATAAATGTTTTATTGCTCCAGAAAAATAGTTTTTCCTTCCTATCATTTTTTGCACCCTGCAGTCACAACTTTCGGATCATAATTCATCACCTACGACTCACAAATTGACTAAAGACTCACATTACCAGAGGCACCAGTAAGATTATGATGTTGCATTTCTCTTTACAGCAGCATTACAGTAATTTTACAGACGCAGGAGGAAACAGGAATGTATTTTTAGTTAAGCATGTTAACTTTTTTTATCAAACTCCCCAAATATAGAATACATACAAATGCATATATACATTTTTTAAAAAAATAATAAAACATACAGTTTGGGACTTTAAATAATTGTATTTTTACCGTTCATGCATGTGTACAACAAACATTTTTTCTTCATTTTCTGCACTGGCTGCTAAAGAAGTAGTCGTCTTATATTTCACAGAACACTCTCGAGCTGCAGTGATTCTATTTCATTCTCTTATAGCTGCAAAGTCATTCACCTCCAAACACAACCAATCGCTTTCCTGCATCAGCAAGGTCCGCCCTCTCCATCCAGTCACTGATTGGACGGGAACAGAGTAGACCCTCCTCTCCCGTGTTCTGCTCTCAGAAATCACAATTCACAAACATTTGTATGTTTTCATTCATATCTTCATGCATTTCATTCATTTGTTTGTCTATTATGCTAAATTCTGGATTTATGTGTGAATGCAAGTAAGTGCTTCTGGTTTTTTACTCTCCTCCTTGGGTGTGTTTCTCTCCTCCTCTCCTCCTCCTCCTCTCCTTCGCTCTCCTCTCCTCTCTGTGTTTACCCCCCTCCAAGCTTCCTCTCGTTACCCTCTCCTGTCTTTGCTGTGTTGTATGAAACCCCTCCCCTCTCCCAGCCTCCCTAGTCTCTTGTCATTGGGTGCTGTGTGGGGTGATGGTTGTGGTTTCTGTCGGTGATATCCCCAGCAGAGCGTGTACCGGCTTACTGCTTCTGAACTACAGGCACTGTTGTTGATGTTGCAGCCCTGCAGCATCTTACAGATAGAGATCTAGATAGATAGATAGGTATCTAGATTGTAGATCAGAGGATGTCATCTTTTCATCATTGCTGATATGTTTATCTGGACATCTGGGCACTGCTATCTGCTGCCTGTAGCCGCAACAACTGGACTGATACTCTGCATCTTCTATGTACATCAAGCTCGTATTTTGTAGTTTGCAAAGGGTCATCGCCTGAAAGTCCATCTACGTGACCAAGTCCTTCTTCGGAACAGACTACAGATTGCAGATAAACTACATAACCAAGGATCTACACCCTTCTTCTTGCTGCTGAGGTGAGATGCAATAATACAACACACATGTTTAAGTAATGACAGCACATTAGGAGTGATGGTGTGATACATGTAGTTGGTATATTTACACACATGCTGTAGAGGATATACTATACATACTGTAATAATACTGCTTTCATCTTTGTCTTTGCTACACTTTGCTACACTTTACACGTCATCACTCCTGATAATCACTGTGCCTTGTTCTCTGTCAAACAAAATAATAAATAACTATTAGAGTGTGTGAGCATAGCAGCACTGTAACTGCAGCATTGCTGCACAATGAAAGGATGGCTACTACGATGAAACAGCATCACACCCCTATTGGTGGACGGAGCGTCCGGCGAAGAGTATTGATTGGTTGTTTGGGCTTTCTCTCATGTGGAAGGGCAGGTTCCTACAGTGAATAAGACTGTCATATGGTAGAAAAACACACCACCCTGGAAGTAGTGTTTAGTAGTGAGTGTGTTTAGGTGTGGTTCAGAGATGAGGGGAGATCGGGGGAGGAAGGTGGATGGGGGGAGGAGAGAGATGGACGCATGATGCAGGGAGAGCAGTGAGACGTATATATGATGTGTTTTCTATTGCAGCAGGATGGAAAACTCAAATCAGTTACCTTCGATTCAGATGGTCAATTTCTACATGTGACTCAGTGTAACAGGAAGTTGCTCCTGCAGAGAGGCCGAGCCGTTATCCCAGAGACTGGTGATGTTGATGGAGAAGCAAACAGGTAGATCAGTAGAACAACAACAAGTCAGACCATCAGATGACAGGGTGGGTACACATACATCAAGTTATAGGCAGAAAATAAGTCAACAGAGGAAGAAAATAAGGGGGAAAGAAAAAACACATGCACATCAACAGTGAGGCAGCAGCAGCAGCCTGACTCATAAATTCTCTGCTAACTAGCCGAGCAGTGGCCATTCAGAGAATTAACACAGGCAGTATACAAACGGCTAATGAGTGCACAGATCTGCACAACACCGGTCATATGATTCCTGGTCAGCCCTCGGCTATTAGAGAGAGAGACAGAGAGAGAGAGAGAGAGGGAGGAAAAAGTGTTTTTTGTAGTACAGTTTACTGTAGCCTCTATGATACTACAGTGGTAATGGATCCAGCATTGTGCCGTTATTGCAGCTGGAGGCTTTTACATCCAGGCTGCTGTGAGGTGGAGGCCCACAGCATTTGTTTCTCAAAACTGGAGAAAAAGGTAAAGCTCTTTCTGTCAGTTTTGGTGGTGACTATATTATTTTTGACAAGAAATCAAGATTTCTTTATTTTACAGATTAGAAAATGTGTGTGTGGAGAACATTTTTAGCATATATTATTAATGACCAGTGTGTTTATGTGAGTGATGTTTGTACAGATGAGTGACAGGATGTAGAAACATAATGGTCTCGACTACCAGAGAACATTTTGAGAAAATGCAGCAACCTGAGACTTGTAGCCACTTTGTTTAATTTGATTTGTTCTATTTTAAAACGTGACCAAACCCCAGATGTGGGAAGCATTTCAATGGTATGAGACTGGCCTAACAAAACAGAGAGCTGGTTTTACATTAGCCTAGCCTGCTTCAAAACTAACCACCATGTTTATCTGCATGTCACGGTGGAGCCAGTGAGTGTGCACACCCATGCATGGCCATTGTGCAAGCAGGTCTGGCGATGTTTCGCTTTAAGTTACTTAGATTTTGTATGAAAGAAACGACTGAGGATTCTTCTCCAGTGTCTCTGCCATTAAGGTTTTACATGTCTTTCCCTCTACTGTCTCTTCTGCCTCAGGTGCACACGATGCTCAGCACATCCTGAGACTGTGACCAAACCAGACCAAAGTGGAACACACCACATCAGCGCAGCACAGTTTCGGAAGGAGGAAAACCTGACAGTGTGGCACGAATTTAACCAGAAAAGGACACTTCAAGACGCAGGGGCTAACAATCCAGAGTCCCACCCAACATGTACTCCCCTCAGAGTCTGCACCGATGGGGCATCACTCACAGTGAGAGCATGGAGCGGCTTGCCTACAGCCAAGGTACAGTGGAAGTTACTGTTTGAATGAAATGACTAAATCTGTTGCACCCTGATGTCATAACATGTTGTTGTATTACACAAAACAGTTCCATGTTGGTAGGTATCCACCCACTAATCACTGGACTAAAACGAGTTTACTCCTTTCTCTTGTTAAACATTAAAGCTTGTAGCTCCAATCTAAAGCATTTTAAACTTCCGCAGCTTCGACTCTCTCTATAATCCTAATAAACCACCAGCAGTCTAAGGCCTGCTGTCTGAAGGAACTAACTGATAGGATGAAGCATCACGTTTTCTCTTCAGTGTATTGAACTTCTGAGGATCAGCGTTATCTGACTTTACAATCATTAATCACATTCCAACAAGTCATCAAGCGTGTTACACGATAGTTTAGCTTTAGCACAATCATCACAACTTTACAGGTCATTCTTATGTGACTAATAGATTTAAAACTCTTTTAATTTACTGCTCAGCTGAATTATTCTTGAACAGTCTCATTAATGGATAAATTGTAATAGTAATTATAAATTATAAGAAATTAAATAAAGGACCTGGTTCCAGCTTTGACAATTATGAATATTTGCTCATTTTTCTGCCCTTCATTATTGTACACTTAATATGTTGATGGGCATTTTTTACAGATAAAAGACATTTTATACATTAAACTGATATGCAGAGTTATCAAGCAAATAATAATCTATAAATTATATAATAAAAATAATCATCAGTCGCAGACTTAAATTGCATTGCAGCATGCTTGTCTCACTTGAGACCTTCATCACATTTTCCACAGCCTACTCAGCCTTGCTCTCTTCATTTACTTCTTCCTCCTCTTTCCTGGGGACTGTGTGGGTGTTTCTGCTGTTATGCGTCTCAACTATACTCAATTCTTCTGCATTGCAGTTTGATCCTTTTCCATGTGGGTTCAGTATACATGTGGAAATACAAAGCTGATAAGTCCAATTTCCCCGAGCAGAGGCCCCACCCACGTTAGAAATGATAGACTAGACACTTCCTAAGAGCTCTTAAATTCATATTTAAATTTGAGGTTTAATTTGTTGAACTATTTCATCATATTTTCTGTAAATAGCAACAGTAAAATATTTTAACAATAAAGGTGTTTTGCTTGAAACTTTGAGACTAAAGCTTAAAATGAACATTGTAAGCGTTTATAATAGAAAGTAAACTCTTCCTACTGTAGCTAAAGTTACCCAAAAATACAACGTTGAAGAAATATAGTGTCTGTATTTCAATACAAGTAGCTAAACCAGAATTTAAAAATACTCTATTACAAGTTATTAATAAAGTTACTTAAATAGGTCACTTCTCTATACTTTTTATATGTTCATAAAGTAAACAAAACAGAAAGTTCAGCCTGTGAGTGCTGCATAATGACTTTATTGGACTATTATTACCGATATATTTTAATTGCTTTAGTTGGTTGGAACTCCTTTAAACTATTTTACATAGTCGTGGCAAATCTATTACATCAGGCATCATTTTACATGTAAAGTGTTATTTTCTTGTACAACTAGAAGCAACATCTGTAGTAGAGTAAATGTAGCAGAGTAAAAAGTGCAGTATTTCCCTCTTAATTGTACAAAAGTATGTAAAAATATAAATGCAGCTAGTCTTCTGACTTACAAAAAAACATAAAAAGTCTCATTTTTATTGTTGTGGTTAGAAAAAAGCATTTATCCAACTGTGCACATGAAGTTTTTGAGGTGTTCGAATGGTGACAAATTCTCAACCACTGAGTGAATCCACTCCCTCGTCAGGTGTGGCTGTAAAGGATAATGATCAGACGTTCACTCCTTTCTGTTATTCTGATAGCAACTGAACATGTCGGCTTCGTGTCTAAATGCACACCCTGGCCACATTTCAGCATTCCTTCTAGTGGACCGCGTAACATTTCCCTTTCAACACGGCACAAGTCTGAGCTGAACCGTCACATCAGTGGATAGACAGTTGTGTGACCAGTTCACAGACTACTGCTTAGAAAAGTGAGAAAATGGCGCTGCTTTATTCAAATGACATAATGCCACAGACGACAAGAGAAAGGTGAGACCAGGCTGTTGGCGTGTCAGAGTTGTAGTCAGGCGCTTAAACGTCTACAACATTTGTCGTCTAAGAAATCATCACAGCATAGTATAGCAAGCAGACAATCTGTCACGTGGTGCTGAGAATGGACGAGTAATACAACATGATTCTGTCCAACAAGTCACTAGGAAGAGTGGGATGAGACTCCATAAGCAGCATCCTATTTCGTTAGCTTTTCTACTGAAGTACAATCTGTGCAATATAAATACTCTCTCGTCATTTCTACTCACCAAACATCTGTGCAATACCACAGATGTGTGCAATAATGTTATTTTTAGAACTAGTACTTTTATTTATTTTGGTTTATTTATATTCTTGTACTACATTCCTTAAATATTTGCCCTATCTTTGCTGCTGTAACACTGCAAAATTCCCATCTGTGGGATTAATCCTATCTTATTTTATCTCATTAATAACCTCAGCAGCTGTATGCATCACACATGTGTGACTCATTAATGACGGCTGATTTCTGGTCTATGGCCCCACTCTCAGTCTGCTCATTATCGTTTCCAGTAATGTGTGTAATGGGTAGTTTCAATTAATCAATCAAACAGTCAGACTTTATTTGCGTAGCACTTTTCCTACACATGGAATGGAACATAAAGTGCTTTATAGAACAACAGGAATGTTTAAAAAACTATAAAAATAATACTCTTCCATAAACATTGTGTTATATATGAAGGACTGAATAAAAACAGGGGGACTGAGGAAACACAAAATATGACTGTTTGCAGTGTTTAATGACAACTTCAAAACACAGTATGTTTCTCAACAAATGAAGACATCAGAAATATTTATAACGTTGAACAATAATTCACAATTATTACTGTCGTTCATCGTGTAGAGAAATGCTGCTCCTTCCTTTGGCACACCACGGGTCTTATAGTCGTCCTCAGATGTATTTATACCGTCCCATTAAAGAAGAAAAACAGCTGTCACTGAAATAAGTTGAAATTGACAAAAGTAATATTAAATAAAGATTTAATTAAAATCATGACATTGCTTTTGAATTGTGGTTCAACAGAAATATTAAAAATAAATAACTAAAAAAACAACAACAAGCAAACAAGCATGATGGGACCCGTAAACTAATATTTAGATGAACAACTCTTTGAGCCAATCACTGCAGTCAAGTGTTTTCTGTAACTATCAGACTTCTGCACCTGTTGACAGGTATTTGGATTTTGGCCCACTGCTCATCAGCAAAGTGCTCTAATTTCTCTGGGACAGTTGTTTTTTTTTTTTTTTTAAATTATTCTTTTCAACCAGAATTCAAAAGCAATGTCTAATTTCACTAAATTATAATTTAGCAAATTTTTATTTATTATTATCTTTTTCAGTTTCTAGTTATTTGAGTGACTATTGTGAATTTTGCCTTTTTTTAATGGAAGGCTATGACTACACATGAGGACTGTAGAAGTGCGGCTCTACTGGAGGTCCTGAGCCGCCCTGCAGGCCCCTTCCTCCGGCAGCAGGGGGCGCCACGCCGCCGCTCAGCAGCCCGTAAAATCATTACGTAGTGCTGCCTTTGTGTGTCTTGTGAGCCGTGTGACACCGCCCCTCCGGAGGGTGCAGCGGGACCGTGGAGACGCCAACTATCAGCTCTGCTGGCTGTAAACAAATGTGAACGTCAGCGCGATGCACGGAAAAGCCACCGAGCAACGGGTTTCCGCGCGGTCGCCGCCGGTGCTAACGGTCATCATGTAGCGAGGCCGACGCCTGCTCTACGGTTCGCGAGCCCGGGGACGTTACTGATTTTTGACACTGGTCGGACCTGTCATTGCTTCGGCCGGTGCTATCGCAGGTATTTCTACGTGACGACTGTCATAATGGTCGCCGGCTGAATCGTGCATCACAGCTAGCTCGCTAACGGTTAGCATACCCGGCTAATTTGGGCACCGAGCCGCTACGATCATCATCCGCGAGGTCCGTGAACATGGCATCGCCCGCAGAGCACGACCTGGCTCTGTCTGAGGCGGACGGCAGCAAGGAGAAAACTCAGGTGTTTGGGATTTTGAGGCTCCAGGAGGAGAAGGCTGGAGCTGTGGATAAGGCTAGCAGCACGGTGAGAGGAGGAGGAGGAGGAGGAGACGGCCGGTGGCAGGCTCCGATCTTCGCTTTGGCCAGAAAAGCGTCCGAGACTATTTCAGGGAGCATTCACGTCCTGCCCAAAGTGTCGGAGCACAGGACGTCTCTGCCCGGGGACTGGGCCGTCCAAGGTAGGGTATGATCAGCATCAGAGAGGTGGGGGGTGAGGGTGTGGAGGGGGTCGCTGGTTAATAGGAGCAGGGCTGATTAAGGGGCTGGTTTAACCTTTGTCTGCTGCTCAACAATCAGTTACTAATTGGAGCAGCTTTAACCGTGTCAGCTGGATGTTCCTCTGTCTCCCCTCCTGCCTCTCTGTGTGGCCCATTGATTTCTCTGACATCAGTGCTGCTTCATGCTCCATCCTCTTCTGTTTCTGCTGCTTCTGTTTCATATCACAACTTCACCGCCTGGAGCATCACATGCTGCACTGATGCAAATGGAAAAAACTGTTCTCTGTTCAGCTCCCCTGGGGGTATTCATGCTTGGTGCTCTGCTATTGGCAGTTACGTGATGTCACCTTGTTGATTATCTTACAAAGTTAGTAAACCCAAGAGCTCAGCTTCATCTGCCCAGCATCCAGCATCTCTGTGTGTCTGTCAGTAGCAGCCCATAGCCTCCCACACTCACAGCTAAATATAATCTGGCTGCTTTCAGCTCTACATCACAGACTTTCATTTCAAATAAGCCCAAAACAAAAGGTGAATTAATCAGCTTGTCCAGTTATTTTGATAATTAGCTCCATATTCCAGCACTGATATGTGAGGATTTGCTGCTTTTATCTGTTCTAATGTCATTACAAAGTGGAACATTTCATCAAATCTTCCATCCTTGTTTCAGCTTTAAGGGACTCCACATGCTTTAGTTTTGTAGCTTTTCACCGTTATTGACTGTGCATGTACTGTAGCATAGAGCTGAACAATTAATTAAAATATTATCAAACACGGCCAAGTGTAACGTCCAAGCTGCATTCTTTGCATAGAGGATAAATGTGTTGCTAACTGTCATTCCCGATGAAGCAATTTCAATCCCCCGGCCTACAAATTACATTCTCCAGACACAAAATGACATCATTGTTTTTATATTTTTTCACTAGAAAAGAAATATTAAAAGTGTGACTGACATTGCAGTTGCTGTCAAAATATATGATTTTTGTTTTGGCACATCATCCAGTTATAAAGTTATTATTTTTATTTAATATCCTCGAGGGGCCAGAGGCTACAAACTGTCACACGCCTCCCGTTCGTTGATATTCCTGAGTCTCTGCCTCCAGGCCAACCGGCTGCAGCGCTGGAAGGTCTTCTACATTGCTGGGCAACATCTCTGCACACTTCCACCTGACATTGTTACGTCCTGTTCTGGTGTTTGGCTACACATTAACCCGGAAGTCCACATGTAGAGCATTTAAAACCTCTGTGTGAGGTTAACGTATCTAATCTGTCACTCTTCTTCCATCATATCTGTTGACCTGTATTACTGCACGGGTGTGTAATCTGCCTTCGAAGCACTAAGACTGAATTCATTGCGCCTCCTTATTGGTAGCATGTTTCTGATAACGACTACTTGTAAGACATTAACTTGTCTCAGTCAGTCAGTCTTCTGAGTTTGTACGGTTTAATGACTAGTCTGGAAATGTACCACACAAATTCAACTGAACATGGACGATGAAATTATAAAACATCGCTGATTTGAAAATTTTAAAAAGAAGATTAAAATGTATGTGTATTTTACATTCTGTTGTCCTGCAGCCCTGCGGGACCCCATGGCCATGGAGCGAGCCAACCTGCTGAACATGGCCAAGCTGAGCATTAAAGGCTTGATCGAGTCGGCTCTGAGCTTCGGGCGAACGCTGGACTCGGACTACCCGCCTCTCCAGCAGTTCTTTGTGGTCATGGAGCACTGCCTCAAACATGGGCTCCGAGGTAAGAGGGAGAATGACATTTTCAACTGGGAAATTGCGTGTGAGAGTTTGCCACGAACATGAAAGATCCCATTTGCATATTTTCATACACTCTGTCTGAGAAGTCTCCCTCCGTCCTTCTCCAGTGAAGAAGTCCTTTCTGGGCTTCAACAAGTCTCTGTGGGGTCCTCTGGAGCTGGTGGAGAAACTGTGTCCTGAAGCAGCAGAGATCTCCGCCTCTGTACGAGACCTGCCTGGACTTAAGTAAGGAACACATTTATGTCCACGCCCGTTTACTCCCATATGACCAACTCGCCATCGTGGTGAAGAAGCCGCAACAAACACACACTCGTAAACGAGAGTAACATGAGAATGTGACCTGAGCCAGATCAGGGAAGTACCTGATAGTTGTTTACTTTCACTTCACCCTTCGTTTCCTTGCTGTCTCACTTCTCCCTTTCTTTTTTTTCTCTACTGTTCTTTTGCATCGACACATTTTCCAGAAATCTGACAAGCAGTTAGCTGTTAATCTTCATATTATTCTGTCAATTCTGGGCAATTAGCAGCTTTAAAAAAGTCATACCAGTGATCATGCAGTAGTATTTTTATTGTCAGACTGTGGAAGTGTTGGCTTTGTGACTTTTCCCCTCCTGAACTTTCACGATAGAAGACAAGAAGACAGTTTATCAACATTAATAACAGCTGCATCCTACATTAATATTGAAGTGATGTCCTCTTGTGGCTGTAACGAGCAGGATCCTGCTAAACCTCATTCATGCACACGATTCCCATCTCCCTCTCAAGTCTATCCTATTATGAGTCACACATCCTCAGGGCAGGGAATCAAGTGAGAAATATTCACGTCTGATCCACAAAATGAGGAACAGTCGTGTTGTTTCAGATGGACATCAGAGTCTGTTTCCTTTTGTGCTGCTGAGTCAGACCTGCAGACGTGTAGCAAAGCAGGAATTTAGCAACACCAAGTGCAGACTCAACGGTTAGACACAAGACAGCGCAAACCGTCTGCAGCAAACACAGTTTTAGATGATTAGACACAGAAACAAAATGAAACATTGAAGATTTGTTGAGCTCACACAACTTTTGTTAGCTTATGTTAAATTAGGGGGAAAAATGTGTCTTTATAAATATAATCTGTATTTTTTTTTTTTTGTCCGACTTGAAGATGACATGTGGAATGTTCTCAGACACACAAAAGCTTCAGAGACTTTTTAGAGCATGAACAGTATCAGGAGACAAGGACGAAAAAGGCAGAGATCTAATCATGTCCCAGCACCACCAGCCTTTCCAATCTGACGTCACCTCTGGTGTGCATGTGTGTGTTTCTAGGACTCCTTTAGGCAGAGCCAGGGCCTGGTTGCGTCTGGCTCTCATGCAGAAGCGGCTGGCCGACTACCTGCGACTTCTCATCACCAGAAAAGACCTGCTCAGGTACACGCGGAGAAAAAGAAAAGAGAATGTTCTTGTTATAATTTAAAAGCAAAAGTGGCTTACAAAAATGTACAAATAAAAACTAACAGGGAGAGATGATGTGTGAAAGACTCTGTTGTGTGTTCGTCCTCAGTGATTTCTATGAGAATTCAGCACTGATGCTGGAGGAGGAGGGCGCGGTGATCGTGGGCCTGCTGGTGGGCCTGAACGTCATTGATGCTAACCTGTGTGTGAAAGGCGAGGACCTGGACTCTCAGGTAGCCACTGCTGTAAAACACAAGTTTCACAATATGACGAAAGAAACACATTTACCATAAATCCCAGACTACTGAGCGCACCTGAATATAAGCCGCACCCACTAACTTTAAAAGGAAAACAAATTGTACATATGTAGGCCACACTTGTCTACAAGCCGCAGGTGTCCACATTGTAACGTGAGATATTGCACAGAAAGATTTTTTTTACACTTCTAATTAAATACGTACCGGTAACATACACAAATACGTACCGTAAATGCTTTTTCCCAAACAGTGGCTGTAACACGGCTGGTTAAATAAATAAAAAAATACAGTAGCCTACCAGCAAAAGTCATTGATCGCTATCTTCATCTTCCTCCTGCCACTAAAACCACTGAAGTCGTCTTCAGTGTCAGAATTGAACAGCCTCAGAATGACTTCGTCACACACTTCCTCAGTCTCTCTTTCGTTGTCGCTCTCAATGTCACTTTTGTCTCGAGGCAAATTCGTACAAATTATAAAAATCCGTAAATCATCATTGTTTAAGCTGTAGTGTTTAAAGCGTGTGGAAAAAAGCCGGAATTTACGATACATAGTTTGTTAAAGCTTGGTCTAACTCTGGGTATGTTATCTGTGCAGCCAGGTATGCATTAGTCCATTTTGTGATTGAATCGTATTTGTTTTGCTTGCCTCCATGCAAAGACGTACATTATACCGTATGTCAACAAAGCAAAGAATGTTCCTCTAATTCCTGTGCCTACTCCACAATAGACCTGAAACGGTTTATCTGATGTACTCCAGTTTCAGGAAGCACAAGAATCGTCGGTTAGGTCATACTATCTTGGCTTCACACAGATGAAGAGCTGATTCTGTGGTGTCAAGTTTCCACTCTACTGGTGGACAATTTGTACCAACACATTTTTTTCACCAATGCAAAGGCCCCACACAGCCCGAGTTCACACCTTGACTGAATGTGTGTTTGATGTTTGGGAATCTAGCGATGGTGTGAAGTCCCCGTTTGATTTGGGCTGGTTGGTGATGGCTGTAAGGGAACTGGATGTAGGCTGGGGCCAGGGGAGTTATGGCATCCAACACTGCCGGCTTGATCCTGCTCAGTGATGGCTGGGGAATGCCGCATATGTCTCCAACCTCACGCTGGAATGTGCCGGTGGTCAAAATCCCTGAATGCTTTGTATTTGTAGTTTCACTATTCTGCCACTAGATTATGTGCGTAGGCATGGTCAGAGTTGTGTTTATATTTATGCACATTCCTAAGTATTCGTACAAGCTGATAAATCCATGCTTTGCGTGGGAATGTTCATGCGCATGCTCTGCTCACATATCTGTGTGTACGCACTGATGATAAATGAGGCCCCTGGTCTCAAAATGTCTGGAGTTCATAATTCAAAGACATTTAGTTTAGAGCGATATTTAACGATGAACTCCTGACAGAACTGAATGAAACCAGACTGAAAAATTACTGAAACAAAAAATCTTTTATTAGAAAAATCTATTATCTTTTTGGAGACTGACCATTTGATTAATCTGGAAATGATCTTAGCTTAGCTACTTTAATGATTTATTTACTCCTCTCTAACTCACCATTTTACAAACTCAGTGGGCTGGCAGCTTTTATGCATGTTTGTGCTCAGCATTTTGTTTGATTAGTAAATACAGCTAGCGATGGTTAGGAATCGTATTCTATTACTAGAAGTATTGTTTGTTTTGTATGAGTTTTAATTTGAGCCACTAAGTCACCACATTATTGTAAACAGCTCTAGTTCTGGTGAATACTCTGGTGGATTGCAGTTACTCAGACATGATGACTCATTTATTCAAATCAATGAATGTGCAGTCATTGCTTTTTCCAGAATGCCTACATCTGAGTGACATTAGCTGATGTATGTTTTTATTCCAGGTCGGCGTGATCGACTTCTCCATGTACCTGAAGAATGACATCGATGATTACAGGAGCGAAGAGAGGTATGAGCGTTCTCTCCTCTGTTTAATACAGCTGGTTTTCTTTCGCCAAATGTGATGCAGAGCTCTGTTTTATGTCTGTTTCCATGACAACAGGAACAGCCAGATCGCATCCATCTTGGATCAGAAGAACTACGTCGAGGAACTGAACCGACAGCTCAAGTACGACATTTGCTCTGTGAGGGAAACGGACCTGTCTGCAGGGTTTTCCCCAGACTTACTGCAGATCAGACTGTTACATAATGAAAAGGAAGTTCTGTAATTAAAAAATGTGTCTCAGATAAAATCCATCCAAGATTTAGCTTTGAGCTGGTGTCAGTTTTCAGAAATGCAGCTCTTGTTCCTGCTCACAGACTCACATTTCCTCTTTCAGTTGTTTTTTTTCTCCCAGACCTTCTGTCTCATTTTAATTAGCTTTAGCTGATCTGCTGCTGTAAATGTAATTATAGCTTTAATGAATCTTTCTCTGCAGCTGTGAACTTTAAAACATTTATGAATTATGACTTTAACTAAAATCGGAGTCCCATATTCTAAAAACATGTTGCCGTGTAAACTTGGTGAGTATACTTAGTCAAACAGAGATTGACTATAACTTCTGTATTTGTGTGTATCTTTGTGTTTTTTGTGTCCAGCTCCACAGTTCATGGTCTTCAGGGCAGAGTCGACTCACTAGAGAAGTCCAACTCTAAACTCATAGAAGAGGTGAGACGCACAGTCAAAACATCTGAGTTTAATCTCACATCATGACTGAACCGTCGTTGTTAAATGTAACCCACTGCCAGAAGATTGTGTTTTTAATTTGGATGTAATTTAGCCAAAATATGCCAAGATAAAATCCCAGGATCAATGTGAGTATTAATGTGAAGCTGTCAACTCTTAACCACCGGCTCATTTATTCTCTTTCTTTGTTGATGTGCACGTCTGTGTCTGCAGTTAGCCATAGCCAAGAACAACATCATCAAACTACAGGAAGAAAACCAGCAGCTAAGGAGTGAAAACGGCCTGATTCTGCTGAAGGCACAACAACATTTAGAGGTGCACAGTCACACACACGCAAACACAAAATTAAACTCATGTACCTCTGTCTCAAAACAAAAGATATATTATTAAGCGCAGCTAAAAGTGAAAGCAAAAAGCTCCTAATATTCCAGAAATGTTTCCCAACTCTGACCACAAACTGATGCACAGCCGACATGTTATTTATCCAGGTAACTCAAGGCGATGTGTCAGTGGAGAGAGACACATACAAACAGTCTCGTCAGGGTCTGGATGAGATGTACAACGAGGCTCGAAGACAGCTGAAAGAGGAGTGTCAGCTCAGACAGGTCAGACTGTGGCCTGTGTGCGTAATATATGTGGTAAAATACATGTAATATCTGTGTAATAACACATTATATTCATGCATTTTGTCTGTTTTCAGGATGTGGAGAACGAGTTGGTAGTTCAGGTGTCGATGAAACAGGAAATGGAGCTGGCCATGAAACTTCTGGAGAAAGATATTCACGAAAAACAGGTAAACACGCACCATTTTTGTAATCTTCTGTCCTTCTCTGGAAAAAAAAAACGTGTCGTGCTTGTTGGGGTTGTTAATGGTGTGGCTGAATCCGTCATATCTGAGTTATATTTAGACATTTCTGGCAGCCCTTGTCAGTGTCTGGCCTCTCACCACCGACATGTGAACCCTGCAACATAAACACCACCAGCTGACATTCGTAGCCGAGCTGTGAGATACGGAAGCTGCAGCTTCGTTTCAGGCTGCCGGGATCGTTAGAATCCCCAAACATCATGAGGTGAATCGGCTGTCAGGGTGGAGAATGTCAGCATCATTATCACGACAACGTTTGTGTCGTGCAGTTGATCTATTTGTCATCCTGCCTCATTATTTCAGCCTGAAATGTAAATATACACACAAATATGACTTATCTCCAACGCTGGCAAGTAATAATGATAAATTTTTGTACTGAATCAATTAATTGATGAATAGAAGCACAAGGAAACACCAAATCAACAAGTGAACTATTAGGTGACAAATGAATGAATGGTTGAATTAGAAATGAAACGCTACATTAGCATTAAGTCGGTTTGTGTTGCTTTGAACCAGTAACTGAGCCAGAACACAGCTTAAGTCTTCTGATTTTTGATCGACAGGACACACTAATCGGACTGAGGCACCAGCTGGACGAGGTCAAAGCCATCAACGTAGAAATGTACCAGAAGATGCAGGTACAGACACACTTGTATCATTTACAGGACAAAGACGTGAAGCAGACTCATTGCTGCTCATAAAAGCTCATCGCTTTCATTTCTTAGTCATCAGACGAGGAGATGAAGAAGAAGAACGATATGATCAGTCGTCTGGAGGAGAAGACCAATCAGATCACTGCCACCATGAAGCAGCTGGAGCAAAGGTGAGACGCACTGCCTGGAGAGGCCCAGCACACACCGGTCACTTTGTCCCATGTACCTCCACAGTACATCCAGCTGTTCATATACCTGGATTTACTCTTTAGTAAAGTAACTCTGATGTCTCTGAGACATCTCAAAAGCAAACAGGTAGAATAACTTTCTTTATTTCTGGGTGAGGTGAGCATTAAAAATTGGATGCTGTTATCACGCAAATAATTACATATTTTATAAGAGTTTTGTAGCTCTGCAGAAGAGAGCTGTAGGAGAACATGGGGAAAAGTGATTTCTTAGCTCTGATGCTCAGGGTTTCCCCAAGGACGCAGGCTGTGATCTGGAAATCCACACAGAAAAAGTGTCACAGTGCAAACTTAGTCATTAAAATGATTACCCTACACTGGAAAGTGGATGAGACGGGGGCAAGTCTCAGTCACCTTGCTGAGCGTACTTTGTTTTCTGTGATCCATTTAGTTGAGTAGATGAAACATCCACAACCCAATTAGCGGCTTTTTGTTCAGTGCCTTCTCTTCTCTTCTCTTCTCCCTCAAGATTTCTAAGGTTTTATTTTGGTGCTTTTTCATTGCTGCTTTTTTATAAATGAAAATTGCTGTTCCATGCAGAGTTTCCTGCAGTGTTCTGTTGCAGAGGTCAGAGACTTACTCCTGATATAAAGAGCATTTCTATGAGCTCAACCATTAACCTTCAGGGAGGAGCAGATGCGCTGAGCCTTTACTTACTTACAATATTGATTGCAAGACAATCTGCCTCAGTGTTTGATGAATTATTTCCTTGTGGAAACCCTGCAGCCCCTTATTTATACTGTCTGTCTGATATGAAACAGTGCATGTTAAGTTGTCGGTGTTGCACCTCGTCCTTCTGTGTATAAGTGCTCCATATTTCTCATAATGTCGCTGTCTGCTGGTTCTTCGATGCTTTACGATCCCTCCTCGCCCCATCGTCTCCCGGTCAACACGGTCCATCCCTTCCCTCTCCTCTCCAATTAGTTTAAGTCTGTTCCATCCTATTTGTGATTGGTTGTGAATGTTTTTTTTGCTGCTCTAAATATTTCCGTAGGCTGGTGCTGTAGGACACAGACCCCGGTTACACTTTTTTAGTAGGAGTTTCGTGTTGTTGTAGCTGAATGTAGACATTTAAAAGGTTAACAAAAGGATATCGAATTTCAATTGATTCCCGGCTAATGTGATGAAAATCTCCCCCTCGTGTAGTTCTGCGCATATGTCGCCTGAACATTCCTGATTTTGTCTGCCGTGGTCGTGTTCATCGATCTTCCACATTGCCTTTCCTTCCTTCTCCTCCCAACCTCTTCTCATTACTCACGCTTACTATGAAAGAAAACATATCCCAGGCTGGAGAAATCTGATTACAGAGTGAACCTGGCAGCCTGAAATCAGATTTCTGTGTTTTAATGCTTTTCATTTACACGTCCTGCTGTGCCTGTGATGTTAAAGGTCACAAAAAGTGTTCAGTGTAACCGGGGCTACTTAGAATACTGATGTATTGACATCCTTTCTTCCTTCCTTCCTTCCTTCCTTCCTCCCTTCCTTTCTTTCTTTCTTTCCTTCTTCTTCCCTCCCTTTCGTTGATCTTTTTTATACCATCCATCTATTCATCCATCCATCCATTTTGCTCCCTTGAAACCTCCATGTTTAATCTTTATTTTTCTTCTTTTTTTCTGATTTGATCCCTGCTCCCCTGTGCAGTGATAAGGATCTGCTCAGTCAGACCAGAACGCTTGCTATGTCATTTGTTAAGTGTGCCAGCACAGACACAGAGCACCAGTACAAGCTAGTGAAGGACATCTCCTTCTGAGCACGCATGAATAGAATAAATGGACTTTTAAGAACATTCCTGTTTTTTTTTTTTGTTGTTTTTTTTTGGAAAACAAGATTGAGATGGTTTTAGAACCTGAGAGCTGCCACAGAACCAGGGGGAACAAGACCGCATGTTTGGTTTAGTTAGTGAAACACCTTCATCAGCAACATGTTTCCTGATCTTTAGTTTATTTACATCCAAACAGCTGAGTTTGTGCTGCGAGGAAAGGTTTCATCCCCGTTTAGCTGGGCAGAAAACAGTCGGTTATTTAAATAGAAACGTGTAAAATGAATCACACACTACTTTATCTATTCACTCACATGCTCAGGCGTGAACACACAAACATATAAAGGTTCCACATTCTTCCTGTCTCCAGTAGTCGGTTTATATGCAGTAACACTGATGGTAGGCTAGTCGACTGTTCGGACTCTTAGATGTCGTCAGAGGCTCCTTGTTATTGATCACAGTGAGTTAGAATGAGTACAGTGGGCTTTTACACTCGTGTCACAACCTCTGAGTGGTTTTACCGCTTTGAGCCACTCGTACCAGAACTGAGCCACTGTAGGATTTAGACAAGGATCTGAACGATCTGGAGAAAATATGTAATTGTAATTTTTCTGACAGATATTGTGATTTGATTTATGATTAGATTTTCCTTCGTTCTGCTTTCTGTAAAGATGCAGAGTAAATTGAAGGTGGGAGCCGCTGGAGGACACTGACAAACGATGCTCCTCTGCCTCCCTCCTCACAAAAATGTACACTGCCCTCTCGTCAGCAAAATAATTTCCCTGTAGTCTCTCAGTGGCGTCCGTGTTTTCTCGGCTGACATATCTGAATAACTGCTTCTGTGCTTTGCTGTTGTGACGGTTCCTGTGCCAGAAGGGGGCATTTTTATTTTTTATTTTTTAACCTTTTTGCAGCTGACACTGTTCACGTCACAAGCAAGAGCAAGTAACATGAAAGACATCACACAACCTAAGAAAAAAAAAAAGAACAATTCCTGCGACCACATGCATTTCATCGCAGTCAGTCACTGAGGTTCAGTCCAGATGTGTAGTCAGACAGGAGTGTGTTTGTGCAGCCTCCTGCTTTCATTTGTTGCCGGTTTGCTCTGCATGTGTTGCACCTCCTGACCTGCTTGTGACTGGCTGTGATGACCCTTGTTGTGTGCGAAATCAGTCCATCGTTCACTTACCCACAAGCCCTATAAATATAGAAATATAACAAGACACTGAGCAGCAAATTGAGATTTCCAACACAAACCAGTGTTCTGTTTTGCTTCATCACTGACATGTAACATTGGAATGTAATGCTCCAAACTGCATGGTGGGATCATCAGCAGATAGTAGGAGGTTGTAGGCTTTTTGAAGGCACTATGTACAGCATCAAATTCACAATCAGGATTTAGATACACAAGAGTAAATATAATTCACTAACCTTAAAGAGGAAGTGATTCTGGGCACTTCTCCTTCTTGCTCTTCATCGTCCCGTAAGCTTCACATACGGTGACAGTTGTAAGGTTGTAGATGTAAACTACTCAATGGGAACAGCAGCTTTAGCTCAATTCACGTGTTTTGTGTCTGCAGAACAGACAGCAGGAACTGTAGTTGCACAGCTGTAAACCTCTGGAGCTTCTGTCAAGGGAACTGCGTTGTTGTGTTCGTCCTTGGCATATTTATTGACTTTTGTGATATATCAGGAAGTAATCGTTCTACTTATCTCCATGTTCATAATACTCTCAATTTGTAGAAGAATAAACACTCAGTACAGTTGTTTAAAAACTCACAACTACTGTCTTTTACCACCGTGATCAATAAAGTTAGATGTTTTGAAAGTGCTGGGTGTGCTTTGAGTTTTTGCTCGTGTTAACCTGCTGATATGTGAAGAGTGCAAAATGTATGATGTGGTTTTTGTTTTAAGTCAACATTCAGTGTATATCAGGGTGTTGAGGGATGATCCTGCTCGTTTGACAAGATCTGAAACTTCATCAATATCCTCATATCCCTGCAACTGGCGTACAAAAATGCAGCGAACGTGAGGTATCATGGTAATGGCTACGCATTCAGCACTTTAGATGCTTCTTTCAGTCAGCTGTCGTTCGTTCAGTCGCTTTGACGCGGTTTTCACTCATTCTTTCATCATGTGTCTTTAATTTGGAGTCTTCAGCCCTTCTTACTTCTTACTGTTCTGTTTAAACCTTCTCCATTTGTTCCACGCCTCTGAGTTTGACTTGCCGGAGTTGTAACAGACCAAATTACAACACTTTCCTTCACCCCAGCCTGAACCATACCATCTTCATCTTTAACCCCCAAAAACCTTATAGTCCTTAACCTCCCTCTTTACCGTCCATCATCGCTCCAGTCTTCCTCTGTTGTTTTCTCCCCCTACACCCCCCTCCTCCCAGTTTTTTCTCTCCATGGTCCTGAGTTTGTCCCTGGTTATAATGGTGCAGATTGCAGGAGGCAGAGAGGCACCGCACCTCGGCCGAGGAGGGAACCAGGCGCTTCAAGTTGGACTTTGCCAACAAGGCCGACAGCCTGCAGCGGCAGATCGAAAACAGAGAAAAGCAGCTGTAAGCAAAACACCTTCAAAGACAGACCGACTCACGCATCCACACCTACATGAACACGTCATCTAGAGAGGCTGTGTTGCATGTTGTTGGTGCCGATACTGTTCTCTCTAGAACTAAAACATCACACTACTACCTAAGTAAAGGATTAAAAATATATGTCAATCAGTGTGCTGTATTATAATGTGTTACTTAATATCTTCATTGGTGTCTCTTTATTCTTGTTATTGATGTATGTATATGGCTGCGGTGTACCTGTAGCCAGCAGCTGGAGACAGACCTGAAGATAGAGAGGGAGTGGAGGCAGACGTTACAAAACGATCTGGACAGAGAACGGGACACGGTGGCTCAGCTCAGCACAGAGGCTCTGCAGATCAACGGGCTGAAGAAGGTAATGAAAAAAAAAGCAGAGAAATATAGGAGGTGTGTCAGAAAAGTTCCAGGACTGGTGTCACAAATGATATATTTTAAATCGAAACTACAAACTATGAGTTTTCCCCTTCCAAGTAATCCCCCTGGAGTCTAACACACTTCCCCAGCCTTCTCTGCCACGCCGCCATGCACTCCTGGTAGGATTCTTCCAGGATCCTCCACAGCTCCCCTTGATGACCCCCTTGAGCTTGGGGAAGAGGAAACAATTCCACGGAGCCAGGTGGGGTGAGTAGGGAGGTTGCTCCAGCACGGTGATGTTCTTCTCAGCCAGGAACTGTGGGATGCTCAGCATTGTGAGCAGGAGCGTTGTCATGGTGAAGCAGCCACCACTTGTCCTGCCACAACTCTCACCTCTTCTTGTGCACTGAACGAAGCAAACGCTGCAGGATCTCTTTGTAGACGTGCTGGTTGATCGTCTGAAGGGGAAAACTGTTTATTTGGGTTTGAAATATATCTTTTGTGACACCAGTCCTGGAACTTTTTTGACCCACCTCGTATGTACCTTGTATATGATACACAGTATGTTTCATAAAGTGAGTGTGTCTTGTGTTTGTGACAAAGTCTTACAGGTGATCTGATCTAACGCCTGTGTTCTGTCGTTTGTGTTGTGCTGGTTTTTCTAGGAGTTCCATCGTCTCCAGGATGAGAACATTCAGCTGAAGTCCATCTGTGAGGACCAAGAACAAGCTCTGGGGGAACTAGGCTCTAAACTCAGCGAGTATGGAAACTTGAACAAAACAGACTCTTTCTGTGCTGCAGTAATACTGTTTATAGTTTTGGCAAGAATTACACTTTATTAACTCAATTCAGTTTTTTTAAGCATTAGAAATTCTCTTATTTGTGAGAGGCTTTTGGAAACATTGCCCTTTAACAACATAGTAACATGACAATGTAAAGGCATAAACTGATATGAGTGAAGTACTTCAGCTCAAAGTCTCTTTTATCTTTGTTTGGTCTACAGTTTTTTCAAGATTAAGTCCAAAGAACACACAATGTGTGACCTGTGGAGGGTGACTTTGTCTGTTTACCTAACGCTGCCTAAATCTGTTTGTCACCAGATCCAAAATGAAGATCGAAGACATCAAAGAAGCCAACAAAGCTCTTCAGGTAAAGCAGGAAACTGTCAAAGAGGAACAAATAGAACAGGGTTTTGGCATTGCTAGCATTTTAGTGATGGAGGAAAAAACAGGTTGCTGTCTTGTAACATGTGTGACATGACATGACATGACAAACCAGTTGTGTGTTGTTGTTTCAGGGAGGTCAGGTTTGGTTGAAGGATAAAGAAGCCAGTCACTGCAAGTTGTGTGAGAAGGAGTTCTCCATCTCAAGACGAAAGGTCTGTCTTCATTTGATCACAAACATGGAGAAAATTAAGACTTACACATTTGCAATCCATGGTGTTATGAAAAAAAACAGCACTGGAAATCATTTGTGTGCTTCTGAATTGTTGCTGCGGTCGTAATCCACACACTGTTTCCAAACACCTTCCATTCTGATTTACCTTCTGAACTTACGTTTGGTCTTTGATGGGTGCAGGCCAGCTGACAGCCTTCACTGGGCCCGGGACAAGATGATCATAGAAAAAACCCGTGTTTTGTCAGGATTTTAGTCATAGCTAATGGATATTAAGAGCTAGCCAAATAACGTTACAAGGCTGACAAACGCTGGCTCCGCTGTTTCTTACCTCGCTCTACGTTGACTTTACTAGTTTCAGCTTCGTTGTTACCACCTTTTTACAAGTATTTTTTAAGCAAATCTCTAAGGCCTCTGTTTTCTTCCTCTCTTTTTCTCTTCTTTTTCCTTTTCTGAGCACCAGACTTCTGCTGAGCGGATATTTTGGTGCTGAAGTGCAAAATCCGAACTTCCAATTAAAGCCGCAAGCGGCGATGGA